ATTTGCAGTTGGCTTGGACTTCCGCTGGAGCACATTGGCAGTTGTCTATAACCGTGCAGTCCAGTTGTTCTGCTGCAGTTTTGTTGGTGCACCAAAGAGGCGGTTTCATCACGGAATTCCAGAGTGCCGTGTTGTTTCCATCGGTGATGAAGGCTGTGTTTAGCAGCGGGATTGGTGGGATGGTTACCGAGGTTAACGTGAGTGTGAACGCATTCCAGATGATGGGTACATTGGGAACCATGATTGCAGTAAATATGCGCGTCACTCCTTGTATTGCATCAAAGTTTGTAAACTTGACTTTGGCTGCCAACGTCCAGCGATTGCAGTGGAAAATTTCGAATACTTGTGGGGATACTGGGGTGAGGTAGATGCGATAGAAAAGGCAGCCTGAACTCCAATAGAAACAATCGCACCCTGGTCCTCCACAGGATTCGACGCAGGCCGTGATTCCTGGATAGTGATTCCCTTTCTCTAGCTCCGGTATGAGGCTTGTGGCGTTTATCGACGCGCATTTGCTCCCTACGCAGGAGCCTGTGTGCGGGCATCTTTTGCTGTCCACCACATTGTAGACAGTGTCGCGAGTGTACATTTCGTGCTCTTGTTCACAGGCAAGACTGAGCAGTTTCCACGATGCCCTAACCTCATGGATGGTTGAATTGTTCCTTATTATCCTGAAACATGCCTCTCTTTTGAAAGGGTTGATTTTGAGGACTTCCGATACGTGAATCTTGCAAATCTCGGTTCCATTTGCCTTTGTGCACACGGCAGACTTGTGCGAGAAGAGATTCACTAATTGACATCCTTCTGCTGTACCGACTGTCATGCTCATTACGGCGACAATAGCAAGTAATTCTATAAGTTCCGATGCTCGGATTTGCTGTCGTCTTCGAGCTCGTTGTAAAGGTCGGCACCCACTGCGAACAATGCTCCTGATGCCGTTCCACAAAAGGCGTAATGCGATCCGACATGGCTTCCCGAGCGTGAGCGGCACATAGCAGAATACGTAGCATCCGGTTATGAAGAAGTAGATGGCTACTGTAGTCGCTACGATCGCTCCAACAGGCCAGCATTCAGGATTGAAAATGACCGCTGAACAGAGTATGCAATCGATCTGGTCGCAGAACGGAGTTGGCGGGCAGGTAGTTTCTATTATCCTGATCGTTTCATTGTACAGAAGTTTCCACTGGACAAACTGTTCATAGAGCGTTACTTGTGGCGGAAAATGGATAGTTTCATTTGTCTTTGGCGCTGAAATTGATTTGCAATAGTCTTCCGCACAGACCTCATATGGGACAGTTTCCTTGGAAAGCAACTCAACTCCTCCTGGAATGCATTTAATTGAATGTGTTTTCTTCGCTAGTACCTTCGCCAATGCGTTCGCATTTCCGCAAAATGCACTCAGAAGACAGATCAGTAGGAGCGCGTTCGTCTGGAAGTGTTTGACTTGTATTGGCATCGCGTTCATTCCTTTGTAATCCACCCTCCGGTGAGGTCGCAGATCATATCGCGAGGGGTGTGCTTCCTCTTGTTCATTGCTACTGTCGGTACTTGCAGTAGTGGGTTCTTGCGCTTGTTGATCCCCCTCTTCTAATTCTAGTGGTACAAGAAGGTTAAGCGGCCGGCGAATCCTTCTTTGAGATGGAAGTTTCACGAGAGCTTCTCTCACAACTCCTTCGGTGTTTTTGACAAGTTCTTCTATCCGTCCGACTTTCCAGGCATGTCTTGGCTGGACTGGATCACACAGCAAGACAACCTCGCCGACCTTCGGAGTATAGCTCGAACTTCTTTGACTTCCTACTTGACGTTGATGTTTTTCTCGGAGGGCTGTCAAATAGTGATTTCGCCACAGCTGCCAAAATTTCTCGGTCAGTTTGCAAGAAGATTGCAAGGCTTGGACTGCTTGCGCCTTTGTACGAAGCAAGGCTTTCTCAGCTGGTGGCAAGTAAGACGGATCCTCTCCTTCATCATTTACCGCATCCAGTGGATAAGAGATCCTCATCTCATTTTGTAAGAAGTCGATCGGCCTTAATATCTTTTCGTTTGCGAATTCTGATTCCACGTATAACAGGGGTCTCGTGTTCAGGATCGCTTCGATCTCAATGGTAACCGTAGTTAGCTCTTCGAAGCTTAGCACGCATTTGCCCAGAGTTTTGTACAGTGTTTGCTTTACGGACTTTATCAGACGTTCGTAGAAGCCTCCTTGCCACGGTGCGTATGGAGTGTTGTAATGCCATTCAATTTCCTTGTCGAGTACTTCACGCTCAATAGCAGGATCGCTTTCGGCAGCTTGAATCGCTTCTCTGAGTATAGTTTCTCCTAACATGAACGTGGGAGCGTTATCACTGGTGATTGATCGTGGAACTCCCCTTCTTGCAAAGAAGCGCCGCAACATCCAGAGGAAGGCTGTTGTCGACATGTCGGAAACTATGTCCAGATGGATTAATCTTGTGGTCATGCACGTGATTATGCTTCCGTAACATTTACCATCTGTTCCATCAGGTAGTGCAATTGGCAAGGGTCCGTAATAATCCAATCCGACATGCTCAAACGGTCTAGATTTTTGCACTCGTCTCGCAGGAAGATCTGTCTGCTCCGGATACTTGTAAGGCAGATTGTTGAACTTTTGGCATGGTACACATCGTCTCACAAACCGCGTGACCTGTGCTCGCAGTTTTGGTATCCAATACTGCCGACGTATGTTCGCCATAGTATGGCTTACGGATAGATGTCCTCTGCCGTGGCAGTCGTCGATGATTCTTTCCGCCAACATCGAGTTTTGTAGGATGATCAACGGAATTTTGGCGTCATCATCTAGGTCGCTGTTTCCCAATCGTCCATAACATCGGAAAAGGCCTTCGGCATGTTTCTTGATATTCAGCCGTTGCATGGAGTTGATGACTTTTGAGGTTATTTGCTGTTGCTGAAGCCTTATGAGCAGCTTTCCTACGATGAGTATCTCCTTTCCGTTTAGCCTTGTTCCCACGGCGTTCCTCGGTACGGAAAGTAGCGTAGATAATAATATGGGTGACTGGTTGTTGGTATTTGCCTGTCCTACAACGTTCCTGACGAAGCGAAGGATCCAGGCTACAATGCGCCTTGTGCAGCAATGACAGTACTGCCGTGTCTCCCTCGCTTTGGCACTCTTCGGCAGTTCTAGTTGCAAGAACTTGTTTTTCCTTCACTGAGACTTCCTCTCCGTCCCTGACGGTGCTTTCCATTGCGACGTGCCAATCGCTTTGTGACCATTGCTGCTGTGGATTTTGGAGAAATTCCGGACCTGTCCACCACATGTGGTTTTGCAGTTCTTCGAGATTTAGTCCTCTTGTGCCTGCGTCTGCTGGATTATCTTCGGACGTGACGTAGTGGAAATGAATTGTGTATCCCTGGTCATTGAGATGCTTCAAAATCTTGTTTATCTCAAGCAGCCTTCGGAATATCACTGGTCCAACGTCCTTCAAAGGGTTCTTTCTTATCCAGCTTAGCACGATCTCTGAGTCAGAAAATACGAAGACTTGATTGACTTGTAGCACTGATTGCAATTGTGTTAAGATTGAATTCGTTATCCGTAACGCTAACGTCACTGCATCCAATTCCCGTTTCGGTATAGTCGATTTTCCTCTGAGTGAAGGGAGTTTCCCTTTTGCCATCAAAAGTTGCTGGAATTGGATCCTAACCGTAGATAACTGCATGCTGCGATAGCTTCCTCGCTTGCGTCTGCGAACGTTATAAGAATAGCATCCGTCATTCTTGTGCAGACGAAGCGTGGCAGAGTTTTTGTAAAGCCATGCATGCCTTTACAAATCTTCTTCCATTTTTTGTAGAGATCGGGCGGCAAGGGCGTATCCCAATCACAACTTATCTGCCATAGCTCTCGCAAGAAAAGCTTTGCTCTGTGCATCAAAGGAAGCATCCATCCCATCGGGTCGTAGACTGAAGCAATCATGCTGGCAACCTTTCTTTTAGATACTTCCGAGTGATTTTCCATTGCACATGAGACATCTATGGTGTTTTCACGGGAGTTCCATCTGATACCTAGAACTTTCGGCTTGGTTTCCGAAGATGCGTCTTTCGTGTCGAATTTTGATGCGACGTTAGCATTGTTGGTCACATACTCACGGAGATTCATCTTCAGATCGTTGAATATCTTTTTGGTTCGATGGTAAATATGATTCGCCTCTTCTTCGGTGTCGGCCGTCATCATGAGATTATCGACGTACATATTCTCCTTGATCTCCGTTGTGAGAAGCCGATCTTCGGGATATTGGTCGAGGTGAAAATGTGTGGTTGCAGCTAACAAAAAGGGTGACGTGACGAGGCCGAAGGTGACGCGTGTGAATCGGAGGGTCTTGATATTTTCCGAGGTAGGTGGTGATCTGTGGTTTCGTAGCCACAGACATCTGGTAGCATCTCTATCAGCTTCATGAAGTCGCACTTGTAGAAATGCCTTTTCCACGTCCGAAATTATTGCGATTTTTCCTATTCGGAAACGTAACAGGAGGCCATAGAGTTGTGGAAGTATGACTGGCCCTCTGTGTAACACGTCGTTCAGCGAAGGTGAGGCTTTGTAATGCGCTGAAGCATCGAACACGATCCGCAGTTTTGTAGTGGTTTTTTGTGGAGTAATCACTGCCTGGTGGGGGACATAGTGAATGTGTTCACCCAAAGCGACGGAGTCGTCGCGTATTTCTTCCAGTATGTTTGCTTTGAGTTGTTCTTCAAAGACTTCGTTGTACTGTTCGAGCAGTTTTTCGTCCTTCTGCAACGTATTCCAAACGCTTTCCAATCTTCGCAGTGCGATGGCCTTGTTGTCAGGGAGCTCGAATGGTATTGCCTTCCATGGTAAACGCACGTAGTAACCATCCTCTCTTTTTTCGATGGTCTCCTTGAATTGGTTCCAAACCTGCTGGTCGATTTTTTCTTGTGCCACTTTTTCGGAGCTCATGAATTCTTCCGTTCCTGATTGTGTTGTTGGCGTCTGCACTGTTAGTATTGTGATTTTGCTATCCATTGTGCACGCAGCTTCCCACTTTGCCGTCTCGTCTTTCTGAAGTAACTTTTCTTGGGGCTTTGTGACAATGCCTGTGATCAAGTTCTCTAGACGAGTAGAAAGTAGGTAAAGTCCTGATGGCAGGCAGACACTTGGCTGATTCTCCTTGATCAATGGCCACAACTGATCGCAACCTAATAAAATTCGTGGTTGTATTGTAGTGTTGTTCTGCCAATCTGTCATCAGAATGTTCTGCTCTTTCATGTAATCTAGGTCTTCTTTTCTGTAGGGAGCACGGTCTAGTGGCGCGGTCAGTACATCATGGGTGAAGAGCTTCAGATCAAGAGTGTGTCCTTCTGAGTCCCATCCTTGGAGGAGCACGCGCCTGCATAGATTTTCCTTCACTTCTTCTGTGCCAAAGGTGTGAATCGGGAGCCTTGTAGTCTCGATTGTGGGAAGTTCCAGTTCTTCCGCCAAAGAGCTTTCAATGAAAGACACCTCTGCTCCGCTGTCCAGAAGCACTCCAACCTTTTTCAACGTTTTCGTCGAGGGATTCATCACTGTAAGTATTCCTGCAGGAAGGAAAGTTCTGCTCAACCTTCTAGTTTTGTGTACTGGTTGCAGATCCAGTGCAGACACAGCTTCAGTTTCGGAGTTGTCATCATGGAGGGCGTTTACCTTTCTTGCTTCTTTATGCGTTGGGTTTCGTTCCGTATCTCGGGCTTTGGGTTTTTTCCCTTCGCTCAACGGTGGACTTGTCTTCCTTGACGCTCCTTGGTCTGCCGTAGTGTCACCTCTGAAACAGCATGATGTGTGGTGTGGTCCTCCACACCTGAAGCACATTCTCTTCTTGCAGTTAGCAGTTGAATGCTGTGCTGAGGCGCATATGAGACAGAGCTTGTTCTCGCGTAGGTAGTTGGAGCGTTCTTGTGGAGTACTGTATCTTTTGCAATCGGCTGACTTGTGGCTTCCCTCACAATACATGCAAGTCCCTAAGTACGTTTTTGTTCGGTCAGATCGTCTTTTCTCCGGCTTAGTAGGTGTTGGGTCCGGCTTGGTGTTCTTCATGTATACCGCAAGCATTTCGTCTGTGGAGATTTCTTCCTCAAGATACTGTATAAGCAGGTCGAGGTTGAAGCTGACTCCAGAGTTCTTTGCGGCTTGTTTGCGTACTAGTACTTTGCGCTGTACTGTATCCGGGAATTTCGTCAGAACTTGCTGGTACATCCACTGGTTGTCCACTTGTACTTCTTTCTGTCGCAGCTGCATGATGATGACTTGCAGCTGCTCGAAGAGTGTTCACTGGTCACGAATGGATGCCGAGTGCAGGTGGCACTTCCCGAGTTTTTCAATAAGATGCGTGACGAGTTCGTCGCGATCACCGTACTTGTGTTGAAGAAACTCGATGGCTTTTGAATAATTTCCTTTGGCGACTTGGAACTTCTTGATTAGTGCGAGAGCATCTCCTCGAAGAGCTTGCAGTAAATAATTGAATTTGCACAACTCCGGTATATTTCTTGAATGGACATTCTCGTTGAACAGTTCCCAGAAATTGTCCCACTCCCATATGTTTCCTTGAAATATAGGTACGGGAAGTGTGGGAAGATCCAACCTTTCATGCGGAGGCTGTGATGGCGTTGGTACCTGGACTGATCCACTGTGTTGGTTGTGCTCTGGCTCTGCTTTAACCACAGTGAAAGCGTGAACCCTTGCCTTCAGCACTAACGAGTAATCCGTGGCCGAAATGAGCGCTTTTTCCGCTTTTGCTAAGTATTCCTCAAAGTCTTGTTTGTCCTTTTCCGTCGGGTAGTCCAGCTCCGTAAATTTGGTAGCATAGTCCGTCATTGTTTGTTTGATGTTGTGCGTCACTGCATCTAAAGCTCCTATTGCTTCGCTGAGTCGCTGGAGACTTTCCCTTGTGTATTGAGAAGCTGATTCTCCTTGCGCTGCGGCTACGTTAAGGGTCTCAAGTTCCTCTCCCTTGAATCTTGAGATGATAGTGTCCAGCTTGTTGCAATAGTGAGTCAAAAGGCGTTTGTCCGTGATCAAATGTGCAGCCATAATCAATTGCAGTGACCAACAGTGCTTCAGGACAGACAAGGAAAGTTTTCAGACTTCAGTAGATATGATACTTGAGGAGTGGTCAGTCTTGTGCGAAAAAATTCTTCAAATTGTCGATATTGATGTGACAAGAGCGGATCAGGCAAAAACTCTTGTTTTGTTCCGGAAAATGAGAGCAAACTAGAGCGGATACAGCAAAAGCTCTAGTGTATGTTCCAAGATGTCCACAATCAATTGTTGTACTTCACCGACCTGAATCCGTGTAGTCGATGCACCATGTAATGAGGTTGGACGAGGTATATATATAGTCAGTACGATAATCGTCTAATACCACTTGACCACGTCACCAAAATATCCACTGCCACGCGGGACTTTAGAGCGGAGTTGTGCACGAGGAGGTGTTACCTCAAACTTGGGTAATTAAACCTTTATCGACAAATATAAACATTAAACAAACGATATTTCAAGCGAATATACTACCAGCATATTATGAGATTCTGATTATGGCACACGTTAGGCATAAAATGATTGATATGTTTTAGTCTAACTGAGCTGAAAGCAAATAAAGGCAATGTAAGTGAGAGTAACTATAAGGCACGGCTAAATGAGCTGAAACGATGATAACTAAATGACACTTAAGTCAAGAATGCGAAGAGGAGGTCGCCAGCTGCGACGACCATCCCTTTTTGCTAGATGCTTGGCGCAGCTGCAGCCGTACAAAGAAAGGACTGGCCGCGCACTCAACATTTCATGGCAATCAAAAGTCAATAATCGTAACAGAAATTATAGAATTTATCGGTCGAGTTTCTCGACATTTCGTGACTTTCGCCCAACTACCGTATTCCTACCGTAATATCGCTAAATGGTCCCGCATTTCAAAATGAACACCATATTCGTGATCAGCATGCAAAAACCCCAATGCACCAAGTTTCAGCCAATTTTGTGACTTTCGCCCAACTACCGTATCCCTACCGTAACCCCCTTAAGTGGGCGAATGGCGAAAATGAGCATCGGATTCGTGATCAGCGCGTCGGATAACCCCCGGGACCAAAATTTTAGAAAATTTCAAATTTTTGTGTTCAACGGTGCACCATGATACCCCATCATGCTTCATGAAACTCGAAGCAAAATCTACCCCGGAGGACTTTTTTCTGGACCTCTGCGTTTACGCACTAATTCTCTTTCTCTAACGAAACTCGGAGTTAACTCCGAGTTTCGCGCGAGCCTGAAACGCGCACCAAACTCAGAGTTAACGCGCAGCTGAGCTGCGCGTTAACTCGCGTAGCGTCTCGCGTGGAACGAATTACGCTACGTCTCCATACTTGGCATAAAGTACGTCTTGCGGGGTATCCTGCCATATAACCCTTTCCCCAATTTGATTTGCTTATGCGGGTGTTAATGGTCCCCGCAGCTCAAACTCAGAGTTAACTCAGAGTTAACTCAGAGTTAACTCTGAGTTAACTCTGAGTTTGAGCTGCGCGTTTCGACAGATTTACTACCGGCCCTGGATTTCACGCTATCTACCAGTCGAATAGTATTCCCACTACCCTTCACAGTGAACATATTGAACAGGAGCGAGAAGCTGTACAAACCGCATTTTCCAGAATCTTGTATGATCCCCTGATGGTCCCCCGCGGTCGAACGTTTTTTCTTGCTAAGCATGTTGCTGTTAAAGGCAGCGTACACCCAAGATTTCACCTTCAAAGTTTTTGTCATTCTGGGGCCTTTCCGTGCCCCTGATTTCAGTTATGACATTAAGATTCTCCCAGCCCTCCAAAAAACCCCGATATCTGGAGACCCTTTCTCCAGAGGGCGGACGAGTTTTGAATTGCTCGACCACGTTGGTGAGGAGCAGCTGCAACTGCATGATAGCCTGCAGTTGCAACTGCAACTACAGCGTATGCTGTCTTGGATTCGTCTTCCGAAAGAGGCGGACCGCAAAAAGCAACTCCAGTGTTGCAAAAGCAGCTGCAACTGCAAACTTAAACTGCAGCTTACGCTGTTGCGGATTCGTCCAGAGGAGGCGGAGCGAAAGAAAAGGGGCGTATTGAAAGAAAATTGAGGGTGGTTTTCTCCGCCTAGAAGCAACATTGGGAGACATTGGGAGACGCAGTTGGTCTTCTCTTGGGCCCAGTATATACATGGTATAGAAAGACCTAGGAAACTGGACAACTTAGATTTTGGGTGTACGCTGCCTTTAAGAACAAATGAGTTTTCGAAAAATCGAATTTTTCGATAAGCCCCAACATTCGACTTGTAGTTCATCGCAAATTTCATGACTCTGAAACATCATTTGGTCTTATCAGAAACATGCTAAGCATTGTTCGGTTAGACGATCAAAACAACTTTGGAATGTTTTTACTGACATCGCAAAAAAAGAAAAATGACTCTAAAGAAAAGACGGTCGCTAGTTAGGGATCATCAGGGGATAAAACGAAAAGTTGGAAAATGCGACATGTACAACTTCTTGCTCCCATTCAAAATGTTCATAGGGCTCTCATCACCCCAAGGGACCTGCTTACCGTCGTGCTACCAATTCTTAGAATCTAGGACCTTACCAAAGGGAGGAGAAACATAAACAAGAAAAAAGACACACAACCAATGGTTTACTTTTAAAAATGGAGAACCATCAAAATGTGATATGAAAAGGCAATTGAAATGCTCAACTCTGTTGCAAAAGCCTACTGGAACCTGAAGAACCGAAATTTCACATATTTAGGACTTTGCCTCCAGGTAGCCTTCAAAAAGAGAGTTTTGATATATTTTTTTCTTTCCGCAGAACTTCATCGAAGCCGTCCCCATATCTGACTATTAGTTTGCAGCTAAAGCTGACTGCATACTTATACTATCAAAACTTGAACAAAGTAACGATTTGTCGAAGATGAGGTTTTAGGAAGAGAACCTCCGTGCGTTGTTTTCCACCATTTGTCATAACAGTACAAGCAAGTTTGCGCTTGGTTGCGAAAGGTTCACTGCTTTTGATGGGGTCTTCAGTGCACAATTGAAAGTTTTGATAAAGCTATACCCAGCTTCAAGCGCAGGGTGTGGCATGCCACACTCGGAGATTGTATTGAGAGATCAGGGAAGGGAGCAGTCATTATCAAAGTGATTCTGATGTTAGCGATAACAAGTTATTCGTTAACAATGGCGATAGGCCCATCATGCAAGATACTAGCGCAATGAACTTTTGGCCCAACATCTCATACGTACAGTAAGCGCAATAAAAGATCTATAAAAACATGAGAGCATCGCGTAATCAGCAAGTCAAATAGCCTCTGGCCAAGTTTCAGAGAATTCTGAAGTTTCTAACAATTGGTCTACCCAAGTGAGATGGTCATTTTCAAACATGTTACTTTTGTTTCAAAGATAAGTTAGCTACTTCTTTCTGCACCTAATATAGAGAATTACTACTTTTTTGTTCACATTAGGAATTCTACTTGAAAAAAAAACTCCAAATTAAGGAATAAAGAGCAAGCCAAAATCTGGTTTTGTTTCCATCAGCTTTCACTATCTCAGGCTAGAGAAGACCAATCATGATTAAATCATTTTAGTGTAAATTATGAGGCCTAAGCTGTCGAATAAATACATCCTTATCGCCTTCACATGCATTCATGTAGTAGCGCACTCAGCATGTTACCGCGATCCAACAATCTCGCAGCATTTCCACCTGCATAGGTAAGGAAAAACGACTACCCTAAAATCCGTCATATAAGATCGGCTCGCAGTAAAGACCGCCTCGCCGATAAGACCGCAAAAGTGCTCTCAGTTAAGTCCGCTTTCGTGACAGCCTCGCGCGCCTCGCGCGCCGCCAAGTCCCGCGGATAAGTCCGCCTTATTTTTTTCACATGAAAACAAGAAGGATGCGCAATTGCGCTGCCTTTTTTGCTCTCAGAATGAACCGAAGCAACAGATCTTTATTCAGGTAGCATTCCATGTTCATAACAAACATTCATGGCAACAACTTGACCAAAAGAACGACCATCATTATCGTTATTATCAGCAACAATCAAAGCGTCGAAATCCTCGTTCATGCCTTCTATTATTGATTCGTCATCGAGAGCCTTGGTGAAACTGTTCGCAATGGTTTCTTCGCCTCAGAGATAAGTTCTTTCTTTTCATAAAGCCTTTGCACCACATCGCCGATGCCCTGAAGTCCTGGTGGCCAGATTCCCGCGCTAGCTGCAATGCCTTCTCGCGAATGTCTTTGACAAGCACTGCTCGGCTTCCTTCTCGCGTCTGCACAATCCATGCATAGAGAGCTTCCTCTATTTCCTCCACCTTTGGCTTCCCATGACGGTTGGCGCGTCTCCTCAGTGGCATATCCTCCAGATTTTCTTTATCGGCCTTCCATCTTCTAACCAGACCATCAGAGACTTCGTAGCGAACAGCGGCAGCCGATGTTCCATGTTCCAAGGCATATTGCACTACGTTAAGCTTAAAAAGCGCGGTGTAGGACTTCCTTCTGATAGCCATTGAGATGCGAGACACCTGAAAAGCTTAAGTCAAAGCATGTGAGACTATGCTGGAAATATAGGGCCCCGCGTGATTGTGAACTTCGCTGAGTTACCGGTCATTGCACACTGGAATCAAGCGGAGTCCTATAAATTTGCGCTGGTCATCGAAAGGTTTACTCTTTTATACAAGGAAAAGCAGGCGGCATCAAATTTGACTACACTATCTTTTGTCTTGGATTACAGGCTTAATGAAACAACAATTGAGGAAAATAACAAGGAAGCCTAATGCTTTGCTAAGGTTGAGCATTCTCAGACTGTCACTCTTCCGTTCAAGAAAGCATTTGACAAAAGCCGTATGGCATGGGTCAACAGAGACTACATTCAGAACATGAAAACAATAGAGGAAGCAAAAGTGTAGGAGTCAGGTTCAAGGGTTGTAGCCTGTACGGGTTCGAGAGATGTAGTGAAAACATTGTCGCCTCCAAAACGATAAGATGAATGATAAGTTGAGATGATTGCAATGATGCAATGATGAAACCTATTATGATTCTTTTCATCGGCAGAAATCGCTCAATTTCATACAGGTGTCATATATAGGAAAAGGACTCACCTATCAGCGTACGCGATGAAGAATCCGCGACGACCACCAAGTAGACTGTACGACTTGTCGAATCCTTGGGCTCTTTCTTTCAGGCGATATCGCGGCCTCGTTTAAATCTACACTGGCAAGCCACGCGAGCGGTCGCGCGCGTCTGTGCTCCTAGGTCGCGCTTGCTCATGCTCAGGACAGACGGACGTATCTGCGAGACGATTTAGGCGGACTTATCTGTGACACCCTTTGCGGCGTTTTTCCATCGATTTTCCTGCCAAAACTGCAGATAAGTCCGCTCTTATATGACGGATTTTAGGGTATATCATTCCTTAGAATAGACGATTTTCAATGAATTTCCTACTATGTAGAGAGAAGGTCGAATAGTAACAACGATATAATCATTATGTAAGAATGTAGATTGCCTGTAAGCCAGATGAATCCGCATCTGATCGGGATCCAGGTTCAACAACGATATAAGAAACGCAAGTATTTGAATGGTATGAAGGTAAGTTAACACGTTTCGGACCGCGAAATCGCGCGCGGCGAAAAAGAGAGTACTATCAGCCGTTAGCCAACAAAAGGACCTTAATTCGCTGACTGTGTGCTACATTTGTAATCACCATGTCAGATAAGATCCATACTCAAAGTTCTGAGAGAATTCGAAGAGTATGAATTTTATCGCCTGAGAATGACTTCCGTGCTTTCCTGAAAGATAGGAACAAGAACTTAGTTTCTAATAGTATCTAAAAGTACCTATGTTGTAAACGGTACACATCAGTTTTGAAATAAGGTTATTCTCTTTGAAATTGAAGCAAAGAAAAGTTGCGACGTCACACGCGTCGTTCGCGTTGCCGCACTTCGTTGCTGTTGTTCGATTTGCGCTCATATCTCCTGAACAAATGTCGGCAACACAACTCTACAGTGTCACTTGTAAAGTAAAAGCTTAGGTCTTTGACTTGATAATCTTGGACAAAAGGAAATCCTCCTGCAAACATTAAAAAGATCCTTGAAAGGCGCGTGCTGCACCATGTGCAGCACCTGTCCGAAACGTGTTAATAAGTGTGGCACAACCCCTGGGAAGGTGTGGCAGCCAGAACTTTTCAGGGCGCACCCTTACCTTCAAAAGAGATTATCACGGAACAAGTTATATACAGTTCCATAGCCAAAATCCCGTAGTTTTTGTGGAAGTGGCTTGAGCTGAAATTGTCTTCTTTCTTTTGAGCTATAGTTGCTGGAAACATAACCACTGCGAGCGAAGGATGGGACAAACGAGATTTTGGCTGACTCCTGATTCCATAATTTGACGGTTATTGGAAGCAGGATGCATGGTATAGGCGAATATGGAGTAGTACTTTCGATTGAGTACAGAAAGACGGAGCTAATTCACTCAAAATAGAGTTGACTATGTTTGAAAATGTCCACTTCATTTGGATGGTCTAATATCGGGAACTCGGAACTCTCAAAATTTGCTAATATTTCGCCCACAAGGGGTTATAATTACGAATATGTCACTGTTATGTTTGTTATAGCCTTTATGCCATGCCTACGGTAGACGAACGAATATGACCGGTGGGGGGGGGGGGTCGAGACAGAACTTAAAGGCACGTCCACCCTAAGTTGAGAATGTTGAGCTTTTGGCAGCATATAATAGTAGGGTCTCCTATCAATCCAGTGCCCAAGTCGCGGCGCAAAATGCCGCTTCGGAAGCGAGAAAATCGCTTCGGAGACGAAGATGCACGAGGACCCCCATCCATGCCCACTCATTTGTGCGCGCTCCTCCAATCACCGTTCCGCAAAGCCGGCATGTGGGTTCTTCGGAACGGGTATTGTTGGGGTTTTTGCGCATCGACTTCATATTCGGAATCAGGGACATGGGAAGGCCCTGAAACGACAAGAACATGGAAGTCGAAAGTCTGGGTGGACGGTGCCTTTAAAGGCAGTACATCGGCAAAATGAGACCCGTGACAAAACAAGGTCACAGGGTAGGAGCCCCCATATGGAACCTATCGGCCAAAGTCCGATCTTTCTCTGCCACTTCTAACCCCCGAAATTTCAAGCGAAAGCAGCGTTCACCTCCTGTCCTCTCCGAACCCGCCCACTCCATGGACGAGTGACTTCCGCGGTCAGAGCGCCAGCCGCAATGCTATAAGCATGAGTTCCCACAGCGACTCTGCGTCTTCGCCATGGCAGGCTTCGCGTTCACTCGTCCATGGGGTGGGCGGGTTCGGAGAGGACGGGAGATGAGCGCTGCTTTCGCTTTGAAATTCCGGGGATTAGAAATGGCAGAGAAAGATCGAACTTTGGCCCATAGGTTCCATTATGGGGGCTCCACCCTGTGACCTTGTTTTGCCACGGGCCTCATTCTGCCGACCTACTGCCTTTAAGGGGAGGGGTCGTACCCGGTGGTTATGTGCCACACCTCTTGCTCAACATTTGCTATACCTCGTCATGACACTTTGCAATACTGAGACTGAATGCATAAACCTACATCCAACGCAAGCGAGTGAGCAGAAAAACATTAGTGGCTTAGTTCTGCCACAAGTTTCTGAGCTCGGACGCTTTCAAGAAAATTTATTACTTTCCGAGAAATAACATAAAAAATTCAAGCACACACGAAATTACAGAAATTGAGGATGTCATGAACAGTTCAGCAACCATATGGTAAATTTAGTGGTACCAAATAACAAAATCATCATAAAATAAAAAATAGTTTGGACCGAAAACAGAAAAGGCAGCTAAGATAATCTAACTTTTGAAAGGCAGTGAATGAGAGTAATTTTCCTTAATTGCTAAGTTGTGATTTGCTAGGTTCTAATGAGTTAGAAACCCCCAAAACCACCTCCGAAAACCGAAGGTTATTACACATATTAGCATGCTTCCAGCATGTCTTATCCTCAAACGTAGATGAACCCATAACCAGCACGAAATCCAGTAACGGCAAGTCAAAATCCGAAAGAGCATTGCTTGGTTCTGACAAAGGCATTGTTCCAAGCAGATTTATCTGGACCCTTCAATCAAATCTTCTATGATTCCATACTCGGCTTTTCCTTCGGCTTGTCCTTCATGTCTTTGTCTTTAGAGAGCTCGTTACCGTCCTTAGCCTTCAGTTCGTTCATTTTACGTTCGATAAACATTGTAGTTGAAGTCGATATCTGCAAAACAACTGAATATGATGAGGCTCTCTCACAAGATATTCAAATAGGCACGCATAGGTAGAACTTTTCGCGAGCAGGGCTTCGATTAAGCTGCCCCAGATGTCATGATTGGCATTTCCAGTCAAGTTTGATCTCGGAGGGAAAGCCCCCTACCGAAATATGCACAGAATCCACGCATCTTTGTGTAGAAGTATTGAGTCCATCAGGAATTATGGGTGTCATTATAACGAGAGCCTGAAAGAACGTGAACTGTGACTCAAGAATAAGTCCCGCATTTATTTGGAAAGCAGTACCTTCTTCATATTTGTAAGGGCACGATTCAGTCCGATAAAGAATCTCGGCTCTATTTGTGTCTCTATTTTGACGCCGGCAGCCGCATGATGAGATCCAGGACTTCCGCGGTAGATCACTACAAACAAATAAAATAAAGCAAGAAAAAATCAATTTTCTGCTCATTCACAGTATTGGCATCCATAAGGCAAGCCGCTTCGTACACACCAACCACAGCGACGTAGATATCGATAAACAGCATATCTCTTCAGAAAATTTGAACCTCCGAGTTCTTTCATTCGTGACCATAACTCATCTGAATTTTACGTTCTTACTGCTTAACCAGTGCTTGCTTAAGACAAACCAGGCGTAAGAATTCGTTTGCTTTCTGAGACTTCGAGCATATTTGAATCAATAGATAGAAACACTGTCTCCTCGGGACTGAGATACAACCGCTCGTAGACTGGAGTTTTTTCTGAAAGGTCTTGTAATTATGTTTCCTTACAAAAGACGTGTATACATCATAAATATTCAGAAAGATAACTTTGATGGGTTGACCTACATAGACTAGAGCTGTAAATCGGCAATAAATAGCGCAGTGTACTATGAGACGTAAAAAAATGGAAAGTTCTCAAGAGTATAGGCCAAAACTATCAATTATAAACATCCCTAAAACCTTGAGAATAAGCTCGTTTCTTCAAAGAACTTGATTTTTTACTTCAAATAATGCAGTTTCTGCAAAAACTGCAAGTAAACAACATTGACAGAAAACTGTTGGCCAAATTTCAATGATAAATATACCTCGGTCTCACTTCACGCCTTAGCACTTTATCGCACGGCTACAGCGGTTTTTCTTTCTGTAGTTATGATAAAATTTCGATCTTTCTGCCAAGTCCGTCAACCTTGCACAAACTATTCGAAAGTGCTCTTCAGGTGATTTTGAATTAATGAGAACCTATGTTCCTGTGTTTTATGACCAGAAGAATTCAAGTCAAAAATCCAAAATTTGACGTACTCAACGTATCTGTAAGCAAACTTATCCACAAAAATTTGAATTTAAGCGCCATACGGACATATCGGCTCAGCGACGGATAAGCTTTATTTAGTTTTCTTGATTATCATTGTAATTACCCTAAAATCTCACAAAAGTCCTCCCCTCAGGTAAGTCCGTCTACAGATAGGTCCGGTGTCAAATAAGTCCGCTTTTTTGACACGAATAAGGTCCTTCAGATAAGTCCGCTTTGTTTTCATTAACTACCTACCCTGAAATCTTGTCAGATAAGTCCCGAGTCCGGACTTATCTGTGAGCGGACTTATCTGATGGGAGGACTTATCTGCAAGATCCTTGGTGGTGTTTTTCATCGATTTTTCTTGTCAAAAAAGCGGACTTATCCGTAAAATTTGGGGTAGCTTAGGAATGTGAATTTGCCTATCTTTGCTTTCGATGAAAATTCATTATATCTCCAAGTTTTTACGTGCTGCTCGCGGCCAGAGGCTCACAAATTTGTGCACCATTATCATTTGATTAACTCTTCTCTCAGGTAAATTGCAGTAAGATAGACTTTTAGCTTTGAAACACTGGGTATCGGAACGTTCAAGAGAGTTTAAAACGAAAATCATAATTCTTCAATTGTATGCGTCAGCATGCGTTTTTTCTTTCAAGAGTATTGTCTTGCAGTTTTTTCTTCTCTAATCAAGGACCATTTTGGGATGTCATAACTGCTTCTTATAGAGTATTCTGTAACGTAAAACCCAGGCCAATTTTCTGACTGGTTTTATAGTGCTACTTTGAATTGACGCAAGTACTTGAAGCAATCTGTACTTTTAAATTCATAAGTCATAACAAAACCAATGCCAACCGCTCCATTCGCGTCCAACTTCGCTCAGTGGCGGAACTTCACTCTCAGTTGTAGCTTCATCAGGAAATAGAAGACGATTTACTCGATCCTGCCGATCACTCATATAATAACCGTAACCACCCTGCAAAGCATAAAAGTTCATTATCTATCTTTGCTGTGCGCCATTTTCAACAGTCACAAATTATTCTAAGCTGCATTTTCAACAAGGACCGATCTGATAAGGCAGCTGAAACGATATATATATATATATATATATACACACTAGATGGCAAACCCGGCTCCGCCCGGCCCTGTCATTAATATATTCGTAATCAGCATGCTCACTTACCCCCCTGTGCCAACTCCCAGCCCCGTAGCTCGAACTTTTTGAAAAATCGATAAAATCGATATCGATTAATGACGAAAAGTAGCCTATGACACCCGCCCGGCCCCGAAGTGTAAGTGTGCAAAGTTTGGTCCGGATCGGTTCAGAAATGGAATTTTCTACTCGGAGCATACGTACACACAGACAGACAAACAGACATTCAGCTTTATATATAAGATGATTTTAAAAGCCAATTTCCGCATTATGTGAGGAAATTAATAGTTTTTTATTGGACGCTTCTTTGCAAAAGAAAACAGGAGCATAATTCAAAACAAAAAAGACTCAAGACAGTACATAATCATTTTTCTTATTGCTCCAACCTGAGAGCGATGAATAAAATGACGCAATGCACAAGACCCTTTCTCTATAGCTAACAGCTATATTTTACTACATCACTTCAATCTTGCATTCAAATCTTGATCTCATGATTATTCTTACACTAGGTTACTCAGTAGATTACTGAAAAACAGATATGCATAGCGTGCCAGATCTTTCTACTCATATTTCTTTTATTTGGTCCCACTTAGATTAAATACTTGTATTGTCTTCCTGCACAACAATAGTCCACATATTTCACGAACGCGATCGCATTAGCCTACATTTAACAAAATTCCATTGTGTCATAAACTATGGCTGATAATCAACGTTGAGATAGAGATGTACCACTGACAACTGCATGGCTCCTCCCCCCTTCCCTCCTCTCTGAAAATTCATATCCACAGCTCAACAGTATCGATCACGCCTACTGATGGTAGGTAAGGTGTCGCCTTTCGGTGGTAAGAGACTAACTTGTGAGAACAAGGATGCATGATATAAAGAAATCGAGAAATAAAGGACTTTCTCTCCCCTTTAGCATAGTTTCGGGCGGTTGCACGGTCGAGTATGCTCCATCATAGCTACTGTATACCTCGATGAATCCTACAGAGACTTTGGATTGGCATATTCCCTGAACCACAAGCCGAGGCAGCGCCTAGAGCGCGTATTCCTTGAACCACAAGCCGAGGCAGCGCCTAGAGTGCGTGCAATAAATCTACAGTAGATATGAAAGTGTCCAAAAATTAGCTTAAAAGCAAGTACCCAGAGAGACCCTGCCTCTGAAGAACAGGTGTAGAAGGTGGTTTCCCACCTCCCACCACAGGCTGGTCCATATATGGTAACACGGGCTGCGGAAAATATATTTTTGGTCAATTTCATGCATGTTTTGATGATAATACTTTGCTTCATATTAGTTGATCTGACAGAATTATTAGCCACAGCCCCTCTCAGAACCGCTAATCGCACTTTACTTTGGAAAGAAAGCATCGGAAGGCCAATCTGCACAAATCAACTTTCGGGCGTCAAAAAATGTTTGGACTTCTATTTGCCTAATCTTGAACCCACGTGTTTCATTCTCTGTCTACTCTTCAAAAAAAAACCTACTATCAAAAACCCAGTCACTCGTTCTGCTAAAAAGAGGAGTGAAAACCACACGCATCGTGAAAATTTCCCGGAAGTGAAAAAATATCTTTATGAAAGCCAGAGGAGGATGTCTTCGAAGTCTTTTGTGAGATCCGATACAGAATCTTCTTGTTTATCAGATAAATAGAAAATATTCCAGTTTTGCTGAGTCCCTGCGAAGTAAGGATTTTTTCGGCATACACTTCACATGGATCACATTGTACAACACAAAGATGGTTTTAACTTAGGGTTCAAAATGTCCGTGTATCTCCAAAGCAGGTACGTCCAAAAATGCGCTGAAAGATGTGGCATTCACATCTTCTAATTTGAATCTTATAAGATTGTAGGAGAGCTTCGGTTATTTGATAGCATACCCAGATTTTTTATTGTGTACGAACGATTAGCCTGGATGTGCGTTCATGGCAATTCATGAGTGCAAGCGAAAGAGGTAAATAGATATCGCGATAGATAGAATTCAGTTGGGGTTCTAAATTTGTTGTCTGATATATCGTGTGGGTCGCTAACTTGAATGAACGCGCATTATCATCGCGTAAAAGAAATGAGAGAAACGTCGCATGCAGAGCGGTGAAGCTGTGTAGTGTGCATTTGATTCTACCAAAATGGCCAAAGAAAGTGAAAAATTACTAGAGTTAGAGGAAGAGGCATCTTTCACTGACTTATCGCCGACAGCACAGAAAATTCTAGGTTTCAATAAGCAAAGTTTTTTTTGCAAGATTGTGCCTTCAACGTTCCGTAGTTGACAAAGTCGTCCGAAAAGACAGTGTGCTTAGCCACGAGATTTACTGGACCCTCAATATCGCGTTAGGCCCCATCGAACTTGCTGAAGACTGTGCGAAAGCAGATGCCCAAAATTTTTGGACGCAACCGGATGGTTGAGAGCATACTGATTACGTGAAACACTGATAAAATAGCTCTGAAGTTGGGTTCATGAGAAACGAATAAATGTGTGTCTAGATTATACAAGATTCAAACGGCTTATACACGATGAAATGATGAATAAATAAATAAATAAATAAAACAGATCTAGAATGTGATATTTTAGCAGTGAGTACGAGGATGAATCGAAACAAAACAGTAGTAGGAAAGACTGCAACGATCTTAAGACAGATTTGAAAAAAAATGATTTTGTTGACTCGTTCTCCGTCAACTGCAATTCTGTTGCTCAATAGCTGTTTGTGTCATTCAATTGGAAAATCAACATGAAGGTTCAAACAAAATTTGTTGGCCGCATATTTAGTTTAGTGATTTTGCGAAGCTTTTGCAGAAGTATTTTGCCCACATTTATCTAGCTTGCCCTGGAATTATTTCAGCAATTTTTGAACTTACGTGGCTAGCAATATGTTCAGAACTGTAGACATCAGGGACAATGACGGAGCCTCCGTAGATGATAGCTTTTGAAGGCCTTGACGGTACTTGTGCAGGAAAGTCTTCTCCACCCAACTTTTTCTCATGCTTTATGAGATTCATCTGAATCTAAATATCACGGTTTTGATACGGGCATGTTTAGGTCAATGTCACTTCTGGTCAAAACCAGTACTTTTGTCCTAGATGGTTCATCTTCATAACCAAACTGAAAATGAATCGTCTCCTGGGTGACCTTAAAATGTTTCGCATACACAAGTGTCCTTCTAAATGAAAACTATGGTAGTCTCGACGGGTCGCAAAAAATTTTCAAAGTCTACACGGGTATTAAATCGTGCAAAAACTTGATCTTAACTTTCTGTATTTGATGCTTGGGAGTGGTATTGCACCACTTCAAATGTGAATAGGTGAATTTGTTCATACGAGCAAACCTGATATTTCTGAAAAACTTGAGCGGTCAATTCCCACTAGACAATATTAAAGTTGCAAGTACAGCACACATAATTATAAGGTACCCCGATATTGCTGTAATTACTTATTACGGAAAAACACTTATCACGGAAATCAAATTACTTACTTATCACTTCACTCAGAAAAAAGAATTCTTATAGCCAATTTCATTTGGAAGATTATCGAGAACCTCAGTGCAGCATACGCTATCAACAGGCTTCGTCGCTTTTCTCGGCAACCCAAGCATGGGTCGTTCTTGTAAGCGTCAATGCATGAACTGGCCACCAGTTCAATAGGTAAAACATTATTTCGCTTCATACAATACTTCTTCTCTTTTTCATTCTCAGGTTTTCCGCAAACTTGTAACCTTGAGCCCGAAAAAGGAAATGACGCAGCCATACCCCATAAAAAATTTTCAGAGCTGATGGTTCGAGAAAATTGTAGGAATTTCAACATCTACAGATAAACACGTGTACGGCAGTGGCATATAAGGCTAAACTCTCTCCTATGTATCAGCAGAGCAGTGGAACTTCTACCCCGGGTACGCGACCTCAGCAAATTTCACGTCCGAAAACCAGTTTCAAGACTTGACAGCTCCAAACTGACCGAAACGACACACAGGTGGACTAATCGCATTATGGATTAGCTTGCTTTCTAGGACATCAGAAAGCCGCACTATCGCCATTTGACTGCACAAGCAGCAAGGTCAGCTAACAAAGGAAGTTTACATTACTATCGAATCCGAAGGTAGAAGAGTGGAAATCCACATTTATTCTGCTCAAAAATTCCTTACATATCACATTTCATTCTTGTATGAACCGCATAGGAATAGGAATAGATATTATAACTTAACTATATAGCAGCGCAAAATAACTTTGGAGCAATAAGTAGAAGACAATGGGGATGCGCATAATTACTATGATTGGGCAAGCAAGATTTAATCTGACAAAACAACAAGATCTTCCGTAGAATGGTCATCTTTCCAGACATTCTCCACTTCGCTCATAACGCGAAGACACTTCTCCTCCTCATACGGCAGTGTCACCACCTGGACGGAAAGAGGCAAGCCAACACTTTTTGAAGCAGCATCACGCATGGTTTTCAGAACGATGTTGTAACCTAAAAATCAGAAAACTAAATGCAAATTCCGCAATACCGTTTTTTCTTGCAGATTACCAGTGGGGTACTTGGCTTCATTCAACAAATCGTCGTCGTCCTGTGCAGTCACCTTTCCCGCGGGTACAGCACCAGCAGGGAAATCCAACAAATTGAAAAGGGCTGTATAAGTTGCTGCGGTTGACATTCTCGAAGGATATTGATGTGGAACTGCCGGGACTTAAAGAATGGTTAACAATCATCAGTCCCTTTTTGAAAAAGGAAGATTGAATAAAGGTTCACACAACGGAACAACTAACCAGGGAAAGTCGGACAGATTAGAGCATCGATACCTAATCTTTTCCAGTACTCGGTGAACTGCAAATTCGTAAATTAGGCAATTCCATGAAAAAGGCGGAATATATTACCCTGATTCAATCGATAAACCCTTTGAACCAACGGGATTGGCGGCTGGAAGGCGGAGTTTCGAAATCCAATCAAAGCTAGAGAATGATAAGATACACGCCCGCGAGAGAAACGCTGACTGCGTGGTGCGAGCGGTCGCCTTCCAGCCGCCAATCCCGTTGAATCAAAAGGTAGCTTATTAAATGTCTGCTACAGGGTTTATCAATTGCAGAGTCGGATGCACCAGTATCTCCGCTCCCGCGCGGCCGCTTCTCCTGCATTCTGCTCCTCTTTCGCGAACGTGCTCTCTTATCACTTCCCCACCACGAGCGTGGGAAAGGCGGAGCTTCAGTTATTGATTAAGCGTGCGAAATTGATTAGAGAGCATGTTCGCGAAAGAGGTGGAGTCCCGAGAAGGCCACGTGGAAGCCGAGATGCTGGAATAATTCACGAAGAAGAAATGACGGTCAACCTTGAGCCTGTAGTCATCACATCGTTCTTGAGTGTACCGCAAATCTTCAAGATTTGAGACATATGCAGAACATAGAGCCGACAGCTGCGGACTGATCTTGTGCAGGAGACACGATGCAACGTAACGTATGCAGCGAGGAATCTAACAATTCGTTACACCACTCAGCAATGCTATTATAACTATTAAGCGAGAGCACCTTCAACATCATCACGAACTCCTTCATATACGGATCCACAACGTCATTTCCATATAGAGCTTGCAGATAGCTGCCCCCATCAGAAGTTATAAGCTCAAATGAATTTATACAACAATGGAAGGACAACTTCCAATCAACCTACTTTGTAAAGAATCTGCACCATTTCGTCTACATCGGGGACAGTGAATCGAACGAGCTCATGACCTTCTTGCCTTAGACGTTCGACTGTCTCTTGTACACATCTCTTGACGCTATAAATCCAGAACTGATTTCAAAAAATGATAAATTCACCACGAAACGCCTTCATGACATGAGAGACGAGATTCGAAACGTTGATGCAATCGATTACATGTTTATATGTGGCACTTTCACAATGACTGCTTCAATGATTCGCATTCCTGACCAAAATTGCATAAACTGTCACGGAGCTCTCCTCCTGCATATTTCATGCATGTCGCATCCATCTCAAAGCTCTTTCTTTTTGATTGTTATATGAATTTGAAGTAGATTAGGACAATGGTAGGCATTTGGTTATCAAGGACTTAGAAGAGATAGCTTACTGAGCAATTGCAAAGTCTAAACGAACATTGAAAACGAAAGTTTGCAAAACACTGAATTTGTTCAGCCCATACCATGGAACCGGGGGACAGAATCCGTCATCATCGAAGTAGCCAATACGCAATTTCGCTGTATCATGTAAAATCTAAAAATACACGATTTTTATATAAGACAGGGATGGAAGAAAAAACAGTGAGCGTAATGCATAAGCAAACATGTGAATTACACTCACTTTTTCATTTAGTGGAGCTGGAATGGATCTGGGTACAATTTTTCGATATTCGGGATCACCTATGACATTTCTGAGCAGCGCCACTTGATTCTCTACCGTATGTGTGTAGAAACCAAAACTAAGAGCAAGGCGCGAACGACCTGGCACTCCAGGATGAGTATTTTCCACGACAAAGCGACCTTGAAATGCATATATAGATAAAACGGTGCGTACATCTCTCACCTTCTGTAGGCTTCAAAGTTACAAATCCACAGAAAGCGGCAGGAATACGCAAACTTCCCGCAAGATCACTTCCCGTACCGAATGCAGTGCCACCAGCCATGAAAAGCGCTCCTTCTCCGCCAGAGGAACCTCCCGGTGATCTGAAGAACACTGTACAGCAAACAACATTCACCTTTGATCAAGCACGTAAGTAGCTCCCAAGCTTGGCCTTAGCAAGGTGTTATGGTAATAGTGACTCCGGAAAGGAGGCAACTATAAAGAAACCGAAAACTAACAACATATATTTTTTGTCACCTTTTCACATCATGCGGATTCGAAGTAGTCCCGTAAACAGAGTTGGAACACACAAAAGATATGAGGGCTTGCGGTACGTTTGTAATGACAAAAGGGATCTGTAAATGGGCAACTAAGGGAATGGCCATAGGTTGTCGGTTTTGTCTGTGTTGTGTGAGTTGTCGGTGTTGTCGGTGTTGTAGGAGTTGCCGGCAAGGTCAGTGGTCAGGCACGCCACACATGATTTAACAATTTTTCCATTGCAATGCCTCACAATTCATCTCCTACAGGCATGTCACACATGTCACACCCCATACTTGACCCCGCCGGCAACTCCGACAACACCGACAACACAGACAACATCGACAACACCGTTCCCTAAGGGAACAGCCATAGGTTGTCGGTGTTGTCGGTGTTGTCGGGGTTGTCGGGGTCAGAGACAGTTTAGAGCGCGCGAAACGCGGAGGCTATCATGAGGAACGACCGGCAACCTCGGCAACCCCGACAACACCGACAACATCGACAACAACCGACAACACCGACAGCACCGACAACAACCAACATCACCGACAACAACCGACAACCTATGGCCGTTCCCTAATCTGCGAAGTAAGCAAAAGCATACTCACAGCCCCGATATTCCGTAGATGAGTCACAAGGGTGCATTCCTCTAATCTTGGCTGATCAAGGAATTTCGCTAGACCAACGCAGCAGTCGTAACCGGGCATCTGTAGGATACTCATCTTGAGGAGGTACTTTTCCTTTATCCGGAACCCATTTGCAATGCCAAAATTAGAACAAATTTTGCCGAAAGTATCTTACACACTTCATGACGCCTAGGTGAAAAAAAAATCCGAATAATGGGGTACGTGGAAAAGCAAAGCAACAATGATCAATCAAAACTGAAGAAAAAAAAAGTCAATCTTCCTTCTCATACTTACATAGAAGTTGCCTTTGACACTGAACGGGACACCATACAATGGTGGTTTCTGAGTTTTTCCTGACCAGTTCTTATCGGCTTCATTAGCAGTATCGAATGCCTACAGTAAATGAGGGAAGTCAAACTAGAATTAATCGATTATGCAAGGTAAGCCCTAAATGCAGTGGCCCGGGAAAATTGCGACTGCGAGGTTTCTACACCTAGATGGCCTTTTGTATGCGCTGAGTCCACTGCTGTGCTTAAAGAATCAGAAAAGCGCTTTTCACAGCATTCTCCTACCTACAGATAGCTGGAGGGGATGGGCGAGGGATTCCTGCCCTAAACAGCGACTGGCTGCAGGAGACTGCAACTCCATCCATTTTTACGATAACTGGCTGATCGGCTCAGGCAGCCAATCGATGTTGGCGGGATTCCCTCGCCCATCCCCTTCAGCTATCTCCAGGGTAGGAAAAGGTGAAAAGCATTTTTTTTACATTTCAAGCACAGCACCAGACTTAATTCTGGAGACAGGCCATGTAGGTGTGGAAAGCTCGCGGCCGCTATTCCGAGCCACTGAACTAAATTTACCTCCTTGATCACTTCTATACAACAGTTCAGTCTTTCCTGAACTTCCATGGCCTTCCACACATACGCTTCCAAGGCTTGTGTAGCATTCAGGTCATCTTTTTGTAAGCGATCTGAAAATCGGGTTAGCTACGATGTCCACACAAATCTTTGGGTGAACTGACCTCTGAGTTCAAGCAAAGACCATGAAAGAATTTCCTTCCGCCTCTCAATGACAGCAGTATCATTGGTAGCCACGCGGGAGCGGAACTCGTCAAAACCACTTGCTCTAGTTTTCTCATTCGTTTCGATAGCCTTGCGGCACCTAGCCTGTGCTCCCCATGGCTAGAAATCTGTCACTGCGAGAAAAGTCGGTGAGAAATTGTACTCATGAGACTAAAACCCCGTCCAAATTTTAAGCATCCCTATAATGCCCGGGCAATTATGAGGAAACCGAATTTCTAAAAGAGCTATAGAGATGCTCTTGGCAGAGAATTAATCATTAGCGCTACCACTTGACTGGACCTTAAAGCCTCCCAATCAGTTTGCACGTAAAAGCGCCGTACCCAGTTTGCTACCCAGATCTGCGCGGACACTGCTTGATTACGAGGAAAAGCACAGTATGCTATCAATATTCTTCATGACGCATATATAGCATTTCAGATTTCAAACCCGTACTGTATTTTGCATTCAAAATCATCGCGATTGGAGAGCAAGTAAACTGCAAATGTTCCAGAGTGTAAATGCAGAGGACTTTTCCTTATAGAGTCCTATTTCTCTGACAACGATAGAGATAAAAGATTCTACAACGTACTCTGGACTCTGTGCTTCGCGCCTTGCAATTCAGAAAAAGAAATGGGAAACTGAGATGTCGCAACCAAAATCTGCGCACCTTATCGAAAATGAAGCGCTGAATTGCTAGTAGCACGACATAAACCCAAACGAAGGTGACCGCAAACTGCTGGGCAGTCCACTCCGTCATACTCACCAAAATGTTGCCCATTTTCGCTGTGAAGGATATTCACCCCCTGGAAAAAAAAAGCTACAGCACCTACAAAGGTGTACCACATGTAGAGGCATACTGGCATTCCACGAAAAATATGATTTCGACAACGTCCATAATTATTTATTTTGAGTACTGAAAATGAAGCGTAAACTATCCTATACATTTAAGACTGAAAACATACACGAACACGATCCCTAACACTTCACATATTGCAAAATTCGGGCAAAAGCAATGGTGTCAGTCGAAAACATCTTCTCGATCAGCAACGTACTGGAATATGTCTCGTGGGGTTTTCAATCGGTCTGCGTCTCCATCGGGGATTTCAAACCTAGAAATTTTCAACTTGTATGCATTAAGGATAGCCGGTTCACAAAAAAGAGTATAATTCTTTTCCATAGGCATAAACCAGCCTTATATACCAAGAAGAGTGTGGGTTATTTGCTAGCATATCCTACAAGATATCGCTAAGATCTAGCAACTGACATGCGAACAGGCATAACTTGATGACATTTACTCACCACAAAGATGTCGAAAACATTTAGGGAGATAAAGGTACGACGTTATCAGACAAAACTGAGTGACACTAGTCTTTCATCGGCATTTTTCCCGTTCGCCAATGCAAAAACACCAGAAATGTGATGCAAAAGATTTTCTTCCTTCAATGCAAAAAACGGTGATAGATCAAACAATTTCACTTTTGGTTCCGAGAACCTCACATGACCGTAAAGAGAACTCTACAAAATTAACTAAGCTTTGTTCTGGGGCTCAACTAGAAAAGTAATGGTGACATCCTAATAAGTTACAGCTGTGACACAATCTAAAACTGGCATTCACTTCTTCACCAATCCCCGCCCCCAGATCGAAGTCGTTTTCTCTCACGTTGGCCCTCATTCACTTTCGAAGCTCGGAAAAGCCGAGATCACTTGCACCAGAAAAGGGCTTAGCTTATCCTCGCAATTGCTCACTAGTCGAGATGCCCGCTCACTATACTATACTTTGTACGCAAATAATAATAGTAATTTAGAAGCATTGCAACTGTACGGATGAAGGAAGAGAAATAAGCGAGCAGGTTCTAGTCTCCCTATGATTTCAATTATAACGACCTCTAACAAACTGCAGGAAACTTAGTAATGTATAGGGCTCTACAAGATCTTGAAGGTCGATGAGTCTGCGATCATTGCTCACGCATGCCCCAAGGCCTCAAACCAGTTTGACAACCCCCGCACATCCATTATCGCTCCAGAATATTACATGCATGACTTTCATGGTAGAAAAGCGCATGACACAAGAAAAAAAAACTGAGGAAGCTTAATGTGCTAACAATGTCCCCAAACTCACCGACCTCCACGACCACGCAAAGCCGGGCGGATAACTATACAGCATAACACGAGCCTCTGCAAAGCAAAGATCATGCACTGTTATGTAGGCCTCGGCCAGACTTCGCTCGAAAGCGCCCATATTTCTCTAATCTCTCCTCGCTTTCTGTCTGAAAAGAGATGAAAGAAAGTGAAGAGAGGTTAGAGAAATTCGGGCGCTTCTGGGCGCTTTTGGGTGCTTTCGAGCGAAGTCTGGCCAGTGCGCAGCAAGCAAAAACATAATCGCAGGTTCGAGTCCTCACTATGTCGTGTCTTGTGGAATGCACAGAGTGAGAAATATATTGATGCCGTAACGAGATTTGGGAAGATTACTCACTAAACATTGGTCTCCCGATGCCCACAGATTGTGCATCACCATTCAAAACATGCATATCAGATTCAGTCGCCCGATCGAATGTATGTTTTCAATGTTAAGCACCCCACTCCCTGGTCCCACATGGTATGCATAGCACGTGCGAAAAGACCAGTACCTTGCAGTTGCGCGACTAGCAAAAGAAGCTACTCCTCTACGGCCTAGGGCTTACTTCCCGCGATTTCATCAAATCGTTACATCCACGCGACTTGGTGACTTGCCAGATTTCTACAGATTAACCATGCGCGGGTCCAACTGCATAGGCCGTAGCTTCTGTAAGTTGCCGCAAAAGCACCAAGCCAGCCTCAAGCAAAGCGTTCTTATTATCAGGCATGGACAGTTGCTGCAGTGCCAAATTGCGTCGCGACTGAAATCGCGTGAAGTATGCCCGGCCCTCTTGCGCCTAAGCGATAGTGTGCGATACCACATGCGAAAGAAACAAATCGTCTGTGGAGGTGATGTCCAGCAATTTACTGAGCTAACCCGACATCCTTCTTGCATCTTGATGTGCACACGAAGGAAACGCGCAGAGAATGTTGGGGTCCCACCTATTTAATGAACTCCAGAAAGCGATGGTTTCTCACTGGTAGCCAAGGTCAAATTCGACGAAAAAAGCAAAAATAAAATAAAATGAAAAGAGACAACAGAGAGAACGCTCACCCGAACTCCTCCTCCATAGCCATGATTACTTCAACATGGTCTAACGAGTCTAATCCTAGATCCTGGAAATGCGAGGCCTTCAAAGCCAAAGCGATGAACTTACAAAGCAAAATATACCTTGGAAAAATTAGAATCCATTGTAAGCTTCTTGGGGTCTATTTTGTCGTACAAACTTAGTACGAGAATGATGCGCTCCTCAAGAGTTTTCTTCGTAAGCGGAGCCTAGAACTAACTCCTATGCAACTATCTCCGTGACTTCCTAGAAATCCTACCTTATCTGAGTAACACCTAAACTGCGTTTTGGGCTTCGCATAGTTTTTAATGCTTACAGGTCGAATTGCCACAGAAGGGCTGGCTTGAAAAATTTTACGAGACGCAAACTGCATCAAAACAGGTCTCGAAGTAAAAAACACTTGTTTGAGCATCTCTGTAACCTGAAATTAGAATTACGCCTAATGTTTTGGAAGCAAATCGGTGCACTGCTCTAGACAAATGTTGAATCCTTAACCGTAATCAGATTCTAACAAGGCGATATAGAGTAACAAAAAATACACTTATAATGCAGAAGATATTGGTATAAAAAACGGTAGACATAAACAACTACAAATAATTTTGCACCGCTTAGCACACTCTTGCATATCGTCTTGCAAAAATTGCGTGGATTACGATGTTTGCGCGTACGCAAATCAACACATTTCAAAAAGCTGACTGCAGAAATCGGCAAACTAGATCAAGAGCGTGAGCTAGCCGACTTGTTTTCTCTGCTGACCTAAGAAAAACCAGGTATATAACTTCTGTCTGCACAGTGTTAGACTTTTTTTTTGTCGTTAACCAGGAGTCGATTTGTACAAAATTGCGAAAACTTCCAGTTTTTGGCAGAGGAGTCACTGGTAACCTCTGACTCGTTTTTGATCTACGGTATAGTCTTTGTCAATGGCGTGCTCACTTTTCTACAGGCGTGGATTTGCAAAGCCGCACCACGATTAACCGGAGCCGCATTTGCGAGCATTTCGGCTGGGTGTTTTGCAACTTTCGCCTGATGATGCCTGTTTGAGGCTTGAATCCTTCTTTTATTCAAAAAGTCCCTTTTTCCTGCCGCGCAAATTGTTGACATGTTTCCCCATATCCTAATGAGTAGCTCATCTTTTCTTCGTTCAAATACGGATGTTTCAGTCTCGATTCAATATGACTTATCTGTTGTTTCTACTAGGTTGTCCCAGAAGTTCTGTCGTCATTTTTGAAAAATCATAGCATTACGCTGTCTCAACGGATTTACTTTCTTATAATTTTACTAGGAAGAGTAAGTCTTTCGCTTTCGAAAGCTGTTTTGGTGAACTTGCGTTTCACACTGGGCGCGGAGATAAAAATGGAAAACTAAGACCATATAAGCTTTGACCATTTTAAGTTAAGTCACCAAAAATCTGGAGCGCTGCAGAAAAATCTGAAATCTTCAGCACATATGTTTTTTGGCCTACTCTTTCCAACTGGAAAAGATTTGTGTTGTTTGGACGTCTCTTTAAAAAGTTATAATTTTCGGAAAAAGTGTCATATAATTAATCTTGGCGTTTTCTGTAGTAACTGGTAATTGGTAACTTCTCACGGAGAGTTCAAACGAGACAAATTTTTCACAGTTGGAAGGAGTCCGTCTAAAAACTTATGTATTGACGATTTCAGATTTTTCTGCAGCTTTCCACATTTTTGACGACCTAAGTTAAAATGATTAAAGTTTATAAGGCCTTCTGTTTCCATTTTTATCTCTGCAGCCAGTGCGTAGCAGAAGCTCTACAAACAACATTCGAAAGCGAGAGGTTCACTCTTTCGAATAAAAGTAAAGAGAAATATCCGTTGAGATAACGCAAAGTTATGATTTTTTCAAAAATGAAACGACAGAACTTTCGGTACAGCCTAATAAATGTCATGCGCGTATAGGCAGCCAACCAGAGACTAGAATACTGAAGAACACTTTGCAGCTTGTGATCAACGTACTATTAGTGCTTTACAACAGTGGCCACGCAAGCGACTTCTTCATACTTGCCAATCTGACCAAGAAAATTTTCTTTGGAGGCGTGGCTGGCCCTATATTACACATTGTTTCGGGGTTATGAGCCCGCAATAATTTCATGAAGCATACGAAGAGATTTTTTGGGCCGTGGCTGGGCCACGTACCTTCATCAGAGAAAAAGTTTATAACCCCCCCCCCCCCGAACGGAAATCCTGGGCACGCCACTGGTTCCAATGAGTTACCACTTGCAATCAGCGAGGAATCAATTCATGCTAGTTAGAAAACGCGTGCATTACGGGTGTTGTGCATCCCCCAGAATTGTTTCCATATGAACCAACAACGGGGCTGCCTTTCGATCATTTTAACACGTTAACTCCAGGAGTGGTAGTATGGTCGAAACCAACGAATGATGTGATGGTTTGATCATGATTACATCGTGGTAAGCATGATCATCTTCTTATGGCTGTTCAGTTCAATCGGTCATACAAAATTATGAAACATGCAAGTCACTTTCGGAAAACCATACTTGTTTCATGCTTGTTTCATTAAACCAAACTATGAATTGATCATTAGGCTAACACCATTGTTTCCTTATCAGGAGAGTAATGAGAACAGCATTTTATTTCATGAGAC